TGGTAGATCCATGGTAACGTAGTGGGTGCAGGCTACGATGGATTATCTCGATGAGTGGCGATTTACCTCGTGAGCCTTGTTTGAGGGAGGGATTGTTGGGGCAAACAAGTCCCACATCGGTTGTGGGAAGAAAATAAATCCACCATCTAACCCAAGTGAGCTACTCCACCCATTACCAATTGGTTTTGGGATGGAACCTTACTTGGGCCAGATGGTGTGGGCTTGGGCCTTGGGTAATTGCTCTCAATAATTCCCTAACAACGGGGAATAGGACCTGACATCAGTCCATCTTGTAGCTTACCTTAGGGGATAAACAATAAAGAAAAACTTAATGTTATTAAGAATGCTCTTACATTAAAGAGGCTTGTGGCAGTGTGTGCATCAACAGCACTGAAAGGATCATCCAAAAGATATATATCAGCATTCTGATACAGCGCACGAGCAAGTTGAACCCTCTGTTTCTGACCACCACTAAGATTGACTCCTCTTTCTCCAATTTCAGTAAGATCACCAAACGGTAACAACTCAAAGTCCTTTACTAGCGAACACCTCTCTATTGTATCTTGATATCTCTTGTCATTAAATGCTGATCCGAAGAGAATGTTTTCTCGAATACTTCCTGTCTGAATCCATGCTGATTGAGAGACATAGGCAATAGATTGGTACACTTGGACCTGATAAAAATGATAGGGACAAAGATTAACTGGGCAGGTGTTCAGCTAAACCAAAAATCCAAATAATTGACAGATGTCAGGAACTTGGCTACTTACTGTATACAGGACATTGAAAGATAATGAACATTGCAGTGCTTTCAATTACCAAATTGAAATGAATATTAATGGCATGTTAGTAGGGAGGATGGATTGCACTAGAATATATTAAGAAAACATAGAAGGTAAAAATTTGTTCATTATGCCTTCCAATTGTGTCAAGTACTCTATACCATACTTACAGTTCCTTGGGTAACTGGAACCTCTCCAAGAATTGCTGCAAGGAGTGTGGACTTGCCGGAACCCACCTCTCCACAGATGGCAATCTTCTCGCCTGGTTTAACCTCCAAATTAATGTTTCTAATTGTTGGCTTCGATTGATTCTCACTCCATGACAGATCGGCCGACTTAATAAAAATGCTATGATTTGTATCACGTACAATGGACTTCACCCTGACATTTGCAGTTTCCAGCTCAGGTGCTACAAGAAACTTCACAATCCTGGCATATGAAACTTTAGCTTGAATAACCACTCCAATGACATCGGGAATTAGTCGAATAGGATCCTGAATCAGACGCAGTGTTGCTACAAACGTGAAAACGTTACTAGCAGTTAACGGGATGCCAAGAAAATAACATGCCCCAAAGGTAGCTGTAGAGACTAAAATCGGAGATGACCAGAAAAGGAAAACATTATATGCTTTGCACGACTGAACAGATGATAACCATTTTTCTTCTACTTCCCTCAAATTTTGTATTACGTGCTTGAAATGAGTTTCCCACGTATATAACTTCAACACCTTCATGTTCACAAGAGCTTCTGAAATAGCCTTCAGTCTTTTATCCTGTGCCACCATGAGCCCCAATTGAAACTTGTGCTGTAATTTTGCTAGGGGAACATTGCAAATGACGGTGAGAATTATTACTGCCAGGGAAGCAATAGTTGCAAACCCTATAGCACGGACGAGAATAATGAGTGCAAGGCCAAGCTGGAGAATTGGTGTCCATGATTGATGGAACCAATAAGGAAACTCTCCAATCCGATATGCATCAACATTGACATAATTCATTATCTCACCATTTGAATGCATCAGCTTAGCAGCATTAGATAATCTCAGTTGCTTCTTGTAAACGGCTGCTATGAGAAAAGATCTCACCTTTAGGCCAATTAGTCTCATCCTGAAGTACCACTGCCTTTGAGATAATGATTCAATTATCTTAGTAAAGAAAAGTAACCCAACCAGTGAATATCCCTCGTATTCAAAACTGGCTTTACCTTCAGCAACCTTAATGAAGGCATTTAGAAGCAGAGGACCAGCAGAGAGAGAAGTAGTCTTCAGTAGTGCAAAGAACCCTGCAATGAATACATCTTTCCAGTGGCATAACAGAAGTGTCTTTAATATTGAGGGTTGAGCTGATGGATTTATTTGTTTACGTTTGTTAGATTTCTCCTCAAATTGCAAGTAACATGACTGCGCTTTATCATCCTCGTGCAACTCAGGTAAATCCTCATCATCAAGAGTTTTCTCCCTTCCCTTTTTCATCAATGGATTCAACCACCAAAACGACATTTTACTCCAAAAGCCAGTTTGGGAAAATAGAGTAACAGGACGAGTTTTACTGCTGCAATTGGCAGCAGCAACAAATGGAGTGAGAATATCATTTTCTTCACCATCTTCGTATTTGTACCCCTTGTAAGCACATAATAACATCAAACCAGATCCTATAAAACACAATATATCTAAAACTATCTTGATCAACATCTCCTTTTCAAGAATAACAAGATAAAGTGAAAAACCACAATTAATTCCAGCAAACAGGAAAGTTAGAATGGACAACGTCCTCAACAGCGTCCTTGGAAAATGCCATCCCATAAGGCTCACAAATAAGCCAATCAACAACCATACTAGTCCATGAATCATGAACATTATCCACCAATTTAGAGGTAGAAAAGCTTGAGTTTTCCTCAAGTTCTCTTCTAAAATCCAAATTCCTAGAGACAAATTAATCACTCCAATGAAACCATTATAAATGGCTGAAATCAGTCGCAAATTTGAAATGCGACGAAAGGCAGGCGTATGATGAGATTTTAATGCTGTCTTGGAGAACAAAGAGAACAAAAACGTGATAACGAGTAGAATATCGAAACAAATTACTAACACGTGATTGATACATGAAGAAGGGCATGTCATGAAGATCAAAGAAACACCACAAGGGATATCATTGCTGTCCAAACAATCAGATGCCTCGCAAAACACTGTCCAAAGATCTTCCATCTCTCCTTCCCTTCAAAACTTGGAAAACCTGAATTACATACAGAAAAACAAACTTACAACAAGAAGTAAATACAACACATTTCTGGGATTCTTGGTAGAAGAAGTGTCAACAAAGAGAGACTTCTTCTTTATAGCTTTCTCACTTGCCTAAGTTTTTTCTCGGCAGTATTCAAGAGTAAGCTACAACATAAGCTTCGAAACTAATTGGTGATAACTTTGCTATGTTTAACAATAAATAAACCACCACCTCCTTGATTTATGAAAATTGTCAACTTGCCAAACATTTTATGGAATTTGGCATCCGCATGACAATATGCGTTGAAGACTAAATTTAAATAAATAAACGCAACTGTCATCTAATAATTATAGGTTTTAGATGACATGCTTAACTACAAGTTCATCACCATCTTGCTAAATCTCACTTGTCACAATTCTTGGCCAAGTGTATTTGTAGGTATCATAATATCTAAATACATACCTAGGACTAGCAAGCAAACTGAAGAGTCAAACTTAATTAGATAGTTCAACCAGTAATTGAACAATTTCTTTTATTTCTTTTTGTTGTTTTGTTAAAATAATGATGAGAATGACAGTATACATTATAATTTTATATGTTCAATCATATATAATCCTACTAGGCCTTTGTATGGTAGCCATTGTCATTTATTTTGTAGAGAAATTCTAACTGTTAGGTGTCTTTTTCACAGCTGCATTTGTTGCTAATCCACGTGAAATTACCTTTGTCCCGTTTAAATTTATTTCATTGTATGTTGACAGTGTCATTTTTGAGAATTCAGATGCTGCTGAGTAAAAAAAGGGGCTGCAATGGCCCACCTTACGTTCCAACATTCAAAGAAATGCTAAAAATGCCAAGAATATGTCTACCAAACAGGGGCTAGATCTTACTTACCACAGTCTTTACAGATATGTTTCCTTTAAAAAAATGAGCAGGTGGGATTCAAATATTTAAATGCAGACTTGAAATACCAACCATGAACGGCAAGTGAATGAATATTAATTTAAGTAAATTGGTTGCCTGCACGAAACTAAGAACAAAGTGACAATCTGAAACTCAGACAGAACCATAATTCAACCTGAAACGTGTGTTTATTTTTCGCAAAAACAGCAATGAATACCCATGCAAGAAAAATAAAGAAAATCAAGAATGTTAGTGGCCATGCTTTAAAGGGTTTTCTGGACAATAAGTAAAGACCTACTACCAGAAAATCTTTCTTAAGCACAACCAAACACGTAAGAAGCTACGGTTGTGTGGAGACTAACCTGAGAGAGGCTAGTTGTCGTCGAAACCCGGATGTTTATATTCTTTTTAAAGTGGAAAACTTATGTTTTGTTGCAAGAATTCAAGAGTATGCAAGTTTTTGTAATATTTTTTTCTATGCATATGATCAAATCATTTCATATACACCAGCATCTGATTGAAAGGGATTTTGGAAACATGTTGATTGAAAGGTACGTGTGTGTTCAAGTTAATGAGTGCATCATTCATTTGATTATGTGTCTACTGAGTAGGACATCCCTAATAATGAGTGCATTTCTCAATGCTAATTTGTATGAAGTAAAGCCTATTTGAATAATTAGTTCTTATTTTGGATAGCATAAAAATAGTTAAAAAGTTAGTCTCCCGTTTGACAATCATTATTTAGGAAAAACAAAGTTTTAAATAATCATTTCTAGGAGAATGTGCAGTTAAAAAGTAGAATTTTTTTTTTTTGAATTTACGTGCTAAATATTTTATTGTGTGAATGTATAATTGAAAATGAATATGTAGAAAAAGAAGTTTTCAAATAATAGTTGTCAAAAAGGGGATAAAATTAGAGTCGAAAATTAATTTTAAGAACACATTTCATTGAACACACAACTTTATTACTTCTTAACCACATATTTTATTAACTTTTATCAAAATGTGGTAAGACTTTTATAAAAGTTTTGTCAAACAATCACTTAATTAGCATGAAACTATATGCATATACCAAATTTCCTTTAGGGTGCGTTTGATTGCAAGAGTGTAAAATGGGTAGAAAGAAAATGATTTTCAGGGAAA